AGTGAACTTTACATCATACTTTAAGTATACTACTATGTCCCTATTTAGGTATTAATTTGTATATATTTTGTTACATGAATATCTGAACATATAAACATCAAAAGAACGGGGTATCTGTTTGTAAACAAATTTTTTTATTCTAGCTTCATGCATTCTTTTTTTAAACACTTGAATGTGGATAAGTTTCATAAATAAAAAATAAAGAAATAAACAACATTTTGAACAAAAAAGCTGAAAAAAGTCTATGAATTGGATTCAGAATGATAATCAAAACGTAGATAAAGTTGATCAACACCCCAAAGCTTGACGGTCAGTGTTACCTCTTCATTGGTCGACATTTTATTCCATAACGTTACACAGTTTTGATGCTGTTTTATGTCTGATGATCGTGTTAGAATACGTGTGGAAGCATCTGTTGTTTCGGTTTCCTCTTCACTTGTGTTTTTTGGAAATTCTGTACAGAAGACTAGCACCCCCTACCGTATAACAAGGAAAACAAGGATTCTAGGAGCACAATTGTAGCTAAAATATATTTCGACTTTTTCTAACTATAAGTCAAGTATACTTAAATGTCATTTTAACTATATATTTGAGAAGTACATACAAAGTAGACTAAAAGTATACTTTCCTATTTTAAGTTTAAAAGAAGTATACTAATAGCACACTTGAATAAACTTCTTTTTCGCAAGGGACTGCCTTAAATCAAAATGGTTCCAAATACAACCTGCAGTGAGTTCATTGCACCTTTTCCACTCACTTTCAATTTAATTTCTGATTTTAATTGAAACTCTTAAGCTCATGGAATCAAGTAGTCAATAAGTGACCGAAATTATTGTGACTGTGATTATTGCAGACTGATATCATTTAGATAATATATTAACCTGCACATATAGATGGTATTGACTAACCTGAAGCAATCAAACTGAAAACACGTTCCCTTCATTGTGAAATTTACTGTTGAATCACATGCCCTTAAAACATGTTGGCACAGTTTATGAGACTCGGGCAGCAAATGAACCCAATGCCATATGGGCCTACTGTGCTGCAAACTCTTTTTACACTGTAAAAAAATGGTAACATCTAAATGAACTGGTTTTATTCAAATAACAAATATTATTTTATACCACTGAATCAACCTATACATGATATACATAATATAATCAACATATGCATACCTATACACCATAAAAGTACATATTAGTACCTAGTACATATTGGTAAATTTTGAAAAGGTACCGCCCCAGTGACAGCTTTTGTACTTGTTTTTCTGCCCTTACGAAAAAAAAAGTTTATTCAAGTGTGCTATTAGTATGCTTCTTTTAAACTAAAAATAGGAAAGTATACTTTTAGTCTACTTTATGTACTTCTCAGAAATGGGCTTTATGTACTTCTCAGAAATATACTTAAATTTACATTTAAGTATACTTCTTTTGATGTTTTGTATGTTCAGATATTCATGTAACAAAATATATACAAATTAATACCTAAATAGGGACATAGTAGTATACTTAAAGTATGATGTAAAGTTCACTGAAAGAAAACTTACGAGTATACTTGCAGTATAAAACTACTAAACTAGTAGTTTACTGAGACTATACTTCAAAGTGTACTAAAAATGCTACTACAAGTATTTAATTAGTAAACGATCAGTATACCTATAAGTTCACTTTTAGTATAGTTGCAGTACAAGCTAAAAATTTTGATGTAAACTAGTTGTGTACTCAAAGTTTACTACTGTTATACTTAAAGTATACTTAAAATTATACTTTTATATACTAGAAAGTGGGCCAATTTAGTCCCAAGGAGTATTGAAATAGTACACTTACAAGTTTTTGTATTTGTATACTTACTACATAAAGTATACTTAAATATACTTGAACTTTACTTAAGTATACTTACTAAAATAAACTTGAAGTATACTACTTTTTGGTAAGGGTGGGAGTGAACAAAACTATTTTTGGAGTTATTTTTGCAAGACACGTCAGGGAACTAGAGAAACTTTGGCTAGAGAAACTTGCCAGAAAGTTATGACCAAACATTATTTTAGTAATGTTAATAAAATGTTCGTTCAACGTTATCTGGTCTTTAATAAAGTTTTTGATGGAATGTTTTTCTGAAATGTTTTAGTCAGACATTCGTCTAACGTTTTTTAAATGTTACTACTTGTTTCAGAGCATTCAGAGAACATTTAAAAGTAACATTCACATAATGTTTGCAAAATGGTAAAATGGAATGTTCCCTTAATGTTCGTATATAACCAAGAAAAAAAACTGACATTTTGAGCATACAGAGAACATTCAAAAATAACAGAGGGACTATTTGGTAGCTGTGTAACCGCAGGATAAACAAATACTGTGGAATTTAAAGAGGAAATTAGTTAACCAAGAGCAAACACATGCAAAAAAGAGAGAGAGAGAGAGAGAGAGAGCTTCAAGGTAACAATGGCAGGTTACCACTTTTTACAACGTAAATATGAAAAATTACAAATGTTCAAATCTTACCCTATAAAAGGAGCTTTTTTTTGTTTGTTTAATCAGGAACTTACAGGTGCATCTCAATAAATTAGAATGTCGTGGAAAAGTTCATTTATTTCAGTAATTCAACTCAAATTGTGAAACTCTATTAAATAAATTCAATGCACACAGACTGAAGTAGTTTAAGTCTTTGGTTCTTTTAATTGTAGACCATTTTGAAGGCTCAGGAAACCTTTGCAGGTGTTTTGAGTTGATTAGCTGATTGGCATGTCACCATATTCTAATTAGTTGAGATAGTGAATTGGTGGGTTTTTGTTAAATGTGAGCCAAAATCATCAGAATTAAAAGAACCAAAAACTTGAACTTCAGTCTGTGTGCATTGAATTTATTTAATACACGAGTTTCACAATTTGAGTTGAATTACAGAAATAAATGAACTTTTCCACGACATTCTAACTTATTGAGATGCACCTGTATAACTTGTGCATGATTCAACTAACTTAACCACAAGATACACAGATACTCTGCAATATTAGTTTCACAGGAAGCAAACACATGCAAAAAATAAAAATAAAAAATAAATGATAATAATAATAAATAAAAAAGGTAACAATGGCAGGCTTTCAACGTAAATAGAAAATCACAAATGTCAGAACCTTAC